GACGAAGCTCCGGAGTTGTTAAGTGATGGGCACATTGGTATCCATCTGCACACTGATCTCTTCTTTTCAGGTCAGCTGGAGAACAGTTTGTGTTCAGCGCAAAAAATTCTCGTAAACATCGCATCACTTTAGCCTCTGCCACTACGAGCTCCTCGGCTTCGAGCAGTTACCCAGTCAAGAACCTTATTGACAACAATAAGTTTACTTCTTACAAAGCTGCACGAAATGCCAAGGAGGTTACCATTTTTCTTGTTGGTAAATGGAATATAAAGTACCAGATACAAGAGATTTCATTCACGTGAGTGAAGGGAATTGCGCATCACGCCCGTTACAACGGCATCATCATGGCTAAATGCCGCTCACTTGTCGAGTTTTCCTTGTTTCGCAGGTGGCGGGTTCCTCCCAAGCACCACCAATACTACGTGTCATCAGATGGGGTGGCATGGACTAAGCTCTATGATAGCATCACGAAGGAAGGCGGAGTTGAAGTAAACGACGGCGAAATGGTAGGTACATTGTATGATGTAACCAAGACCGTCAAACTCGAGCCCTCCGAAACATTGGGTCACCGTGTCAAGGTTGTTTGCACCGGTGGAGCCTCATGGGGGGAATATATCACCGGCAAACGGGTGGTTGTGAAGGCAACTGTGCCAACATCAGAGTCCACAAAGTCGTTTGAAGACGACTTCGTCGTGCCCAAGGGTCTGAATTTGGGTGGTGGGGTTCGAGACAAACATGGACATGCTGGCAACCCAAGCGTCCCTCTGTATGCATACGACGAACCCTTGGTTTACCAGCGGTTTGTTGGCTTACGACAAATCGCCGGGAAAATCTACAAGCGTGTTTTTGAACGCTACATCCAGTCCGATTATGATTTGAGAAATTTGTACAAATTCGATTTTAACGAAGGGTCGAACAGCTACAGTAAAGCTCGACTTTACCTTCTCCTTGTAAAAAAGGCCATGGATTCTAATACGTTGGCAGATTTTGTCGAAAGGGCGGTGGAACACTTTCAGCCTGAGATCCAAGAATTTTACGGCTGGGCCAGGCATAAAGATGCCATGGATGATCTACAGGACTACGGGAAGCTGATAGGACTGTTTGAGGATGAATACAAAAAAGTCCAGCACGGTAGGTGTCATGGTGAACACGTACCTGGTATGCAACCAGGAAAGAATAGGCAGACAGGAACTCATATCTTTGCTTGCACTTTGGATAGGCTTCAATATGGTGTTTGGTGACAAAGCGTAAGAGGCCACAAGAGGTGAAGATGCTGTGCAAAGATTGACAGAGGCTGACCTTGTCTTGATACAATTGTCTTGCTGCTCATGCTCAGCTCGGTGGGCTTCTTGTGCGGAATCAAAGAGGTGGTTGCTGAAAAAGGGCCAAAGAAATTCCCAGGTAAGGATCCACCGAACTCTTCTCTAGCTACACGTAACGACCATTTGCAACACTGAATTCGGTGCTCCACCTTGTCTGTTGCAGGCACATGTTGTCTTGACACACCATACGAGGGAACTGGCGACAACTGGGGCAGGGAGGTAAGGGATCTGCAGAGAAAAAGTGAAGGTGTTGCAAGCAAAAACAAAATTTTCTTACGGTTCAATGTGCTGGGTGCTTCTGTGTAACACCAAGCATTCCTGCTCGGCAACATGCAAGCATCCAGGTCCCTTTTTTGGTGGCCTAAATGAACATGCATGCGAAACTCAAGGAGGGACATGGTGCCCAGCCCCAGCCGACTGCACTGAATTGAAACAGTGTGTTGATGACCAGATTGAGTTGGCCAAGGCCAATGGCAAACTTGCCTATGAGAAGTACTTGGAACCGGCAATAATCACAGATCCATTGGATTTTGAGGAGTGCGGCAGGAGCAGAAAGTATTTTGGTTATGACGAGGTGAGATGCTACTAGTCGTCGTATGCAGTCATCACAGCAACACCATTCTTTTGTATTTCTCACGTATAGGTTGTTCAATCCAATCCTCCCCAGTTGTATACTCATGACGAAGTAAGCCAGTCGTTTTTGTTTCACTCAATACTGAAGCAAGTGTTTGACGAAGGAGCCTCTTCTCACCGTTGAATTTTGTGGTTGCTGTTGACTTGTGAAACCAGGACATCTGCGACAACTTTCAGCAGCTTCACAACACCAAGGATTTTGGTTTCCTCGATGAATTCTTTGACCAAGGCACCCCTGATAGTGGTGGTGGTGGTGGTGGTGGTGACGAAGAAGTGCCAGCGCTGGTCCCACTGAAAGAACCTGATCATTCCGGTTCCGAAGAGACTGCAAAGAAGGAGAATAAATACAAGATAACGTTGTTTGTGTTTCAGCAAGTGTTTGCCGTTCTTGAGGTTATCAAGGATGTCATTGCAGGAATTAAGTGCCCAGACGATCTCTCCGGTGCAGTCCAGTCGGGTTGTGCGGCAGTTAGTAACCTCGGTGAGTCAAGTCGAGCTTCTATGGTTGAAAGTTCAGTTGTTGTTGTGGAACTGAACACATCTCACGATACGCTGGTTACACATTGTTGGTAGCCATGGCTATTGCTGCGGCAGTCGTTGCTGTGTTAGGAATCGTGCATGACATCCTCTACTTTATTTTTGACACTCTTATTGGGCCGAGCGATGCATCTCGCGTGGAGGCATACGAGAACACTGCCCCTGTCTTTGAAAACCTGGAGCTCATGTACCAAAGAATGTATGAAGCAGAAGTGCGGCAGCAAGAGAAGACGGATTCTTTGCAAGAGAAGATGATTGCCATGGAAGAGAAACTCACGTCCATTTTCGAGGCTACCGTGTCCGAGTCCGAGAGGAAGAGGAATCTGTTGGAGCTGGACTCCACAGAAAACCAGGCGTTGGCGGGTTGAGGACGAGCCAGGAAGGGAAGGTCGAGCGCTGAGGTCAACTGGCAGCTCCAACTCTTGCAGACACGCGCAAATCCAAGACAACAGAAAACAAGACAAAAAACGATGAAAGCTTCAGAAAACGAGACAAAAACAAAAAGCTTCAGATCAAAACCAGAAAACGAAGAAAAGACAGAAAAAGAAAAACCAGAAAAGAAAAGACAAAAAAGACACATACATGGAATACATTTTTTAACATAACTAGGAACTGCCCGACCAGTACAACGGACCTACCTTTCCTCTTGGCCGGATATTTTCTTAGAGGCACCACCCTTGGGCTGAGAGAGCAAGATTTAAGTACCGGTACTCAAATACAACGATGGCAAAATGCGCAACGCAAGACACTCTTTCAAGTTTTGACCATAGACTAAATAAATTGACTTTAGATTTTGTATTGCTACTTTTATTTTGGTGGAGGCCTGCGTCTTCGAGCACTCACACTCCAACCAAAAAGAAAAGCACAAACCAACAAAGGACCTCACCATGACACAGATGCCGTCGTTTTGCCGCTGTTTCAAGCGTTCTTCATCATGATTTTCTTCATCGCGATCTTCTTAAGAGGCGTCATCTGCTGGGACAACTCTGGTCAACTTCGAAGAGTCATCAGAGAGTGAGAATGAAGAGCGTGGGGGTGGTGGTTGACGGCGATTGCGTCCATTGCGTCCACGGCGGCAGGAGGACGGACAAGATTGCTTCATCTTGATTGACAACAGCTGAAGGAACTGAGGCAGGAGCCTTCGGCAAATCAAGGTGCTTCTTGGTGCTATGAAAGCGGAGAGTCACAACAAAGTTAGCTTTGGTCTTGAGAATGATTACCTCGGAGGTTGCCTCCACCACTTTCGCCACATCCATGTGTTCGGTCGCGAGGAAGTTAACAATCTGCTGAACGGTTGCATCATCGAGGATCACGGTGAAGACAGCCTCCATCCTTGCATCCTGAGTTTTTCCAAGCTCAATCGCCTCGTTGATGGCCTTGTTGAGTTTCTTCAAATCACTCTCCTTCAGGCCCGCCATCTTGATCTCTTCGGTCGCACCCGAACGGATGTGAGAGTTCTCTCGTAAACGGTTGCATGAGCTGCTTGTTAATTTTATGAGCTCAATGCCTTGGCTTCTTTGCTTCGAGCGGAAGTGGCTTCTCCTCAAAACCGAGAAGATGAATTCAAATTGAGATTGCAAGATCTCGTTACCTCTCATTTCTTCATCATGCACAAGTTGCACACTGTGCAACTCTCCTTGAGAGGAAGCGGTCAAACTCTGGCTGCATGAGTACCCCGAGATGAACTATCCAGAGCCTTTCCGGCATTGTCAGCCTCGAACGTTTCAGCAACTCCATCCTTTTTCGTTGGTTGTATTTGTGCCCATGAACACACTCACCCTTTACTGCTATCTTCTGTTTGCCTACGGTTCTTTATGATGGGTCGTCTGAAACGGTGAGGAGCAGCTGTCCAGACTCTCAAGTTGACCAGTGTGCCACCAAATGGAGGTTTACTCGTCACTCTCCAATTCCATACGGAGCCAGCTACCCTGTTTAGACGGCTCTCGGTTTGCAGAGCAGATCGTAAGCGTGCCTCTTGATGTAACGGTAGCATTCTTCGCTCCTGTAGCTGTAATCAACTGATTAGCATGTCCAATTGCCGTTGATACAATCCTGAATTCAACTACGTACTTAGGTAGTAGTCACCGGTAGCCGCAATGGACCCGCAACAGCTTGTAGCGCACCATACGTTCGCTTTACTTCAGCAGCAACTCTTTCGGAGGCTCACAACTCGAAACGATGGTATTTCTGCTTCGATATAACGGTAATAGAGATATGGCCTCTGCCACAACTCGATCATGCGTTAAATGCACGATGTCCTTGAGCTTGACTATACTACATTCAAACATATGATGCTAGCGACAGGTATTACCGAGGAAACACACAACAAAATAGCTATTTGTGACGAGCATTCAATCGCGGCGTTGAATTCTAGATT